GTTTCAAGTAAGCTGTGTTGTAATTTATTTTTCATTTAAGAATGAAGTTCGTGGGACTTTGTTTTCAAACTATAAAAACATCATATTCTTGTTGATAGAAATCAAATACCAGGGGGTGTACAAATAAAAAGCTACCAGTCTCCCCTCACAATAGTCTTCTTTTGTATCTGCTTAAAATAATTGTTAGCAGTTTGGCAGTCTTGTTAGCCTTTGTCATGTGGCTTACACGCACATAGAACAAAATCGGACCTAATTGAGTAAAAATCTCAAAATGTCTTTAGGATGGCCCCATCTTTTTTTTTTTTTTTTTTAAATGGAGGTACTGAGGATTGAACCCAGGACCTCAGGTATGCTTGGCATGCACTGTACCACTGAGCAATCCTCCCCACCTCCCAACCCTGACTCCCGGCCCCCCTCCACTCCCCCTTGCTACCAGTTAATGTAAATGTGCGAATGCACCTGGGAAAGGCAAGGCCCCAGGCTAACTGCAGGGGGAATCTTACCACTGAAAGCTTTCTTATTGAAAAATAGTACCCTGTTCTGGCCAGACAGGCAGTGCATCACTGCACTCTCCTAGTCTTCCTTGCCCTCTCCTCCCTCTCAAATATAGAATGAATGTATGTCAAAAATTGATTCGTCTCCTTAATGAGGGAACCAGCAGGATGGCAAAGCTGATTCCAAGAGCATTTGAGAAATTAAGTGTATGCAGGCACTGAAGAATGAATGTTGAAATAAATTGCTAGACTAGATAGATACAAAATTGGTTAACATCCTGCAGGTAGTAAAACCATAACCTTTGGAGTCTGCTGGACAGAAATTCTACCAAATAAAGTCTACAAGTTTACCTGTAACGTTACGGAATTAGGGTCCTAATCAATAGTAAACAGCAGATCAAACAATGATATTGTAATTAAATATCTTTGGGATATTTATTGTACAGTATGTTTCATTACACACTGAAAGTGCTTGTAGTTCTTGATTCACTTTATTTCCAGGTTTGGCTGACTTTTCTTAATGAGAAAGGCCTCTTGTGATGTATGATTAAGCAAGACCAATATAGTAGAGATCAGATCTTGGAAGAGCTTGGTATCTTAAACTAAGAAATTTAAACCTCCTTTCAACAACTGTTTATTGAGCACATACTGTGTGCCCGGCAGTGGATTTGTCACAATCCCGAGTGTGTGACTGTGCTTTGGTGCCCCTCCTGTGCCCTAGGAGGCCCACTGGTGGTTCTCAAGTGGTTGCATTAGGGTGTCACCTGGGAAGTTGCTTTTCTCAGAATAGACATGTCCTTTGTCCTTCTGTCCCAACCTCAATGTAGATGTCCCTGCTTGAGTGGAGCATACGTGTTTAGAAAAACCTTTACAGGTGATTTTTATATCCTTTTCCTTTAAAAAATTATTGTTGTGTTTATTGGACTTTTTAAAAAAGAAATTGAATGAGTAAACAGCAAGTGAAATGGCAGTCAATATTTTTTAAGTTTCCATACCTCTTAAAAATAATGTCCTGATTGTACCCTCAGCAAGAACTAAATGCCATTGTCATATTAGAATTACATTTAATCCAACTGAGACATTAATTTGGGAAGGACTGGGCTTAGTTTTCCTAACTGTATCCTTAAGTTATGCCTCTCGCTGAAGAAACTTAAAGAGTTGTCATTTATTTGTAGAAGTATATGATCTGCATGGCAAAGACGTGATTGAAAAATTAGACTTTAAAATGTGTTTAGTGAAAAAGAAACTGTCATTAACTTATCGGAGACTGTGGTAAAAGGGAGTAAGTAATAGAGGAGAAAAGTGTGTATGTGTTTAACTTGCGGTGAAACTATTTAAGTCAACAAAATGGGTAGCTGTTGTGGACATGAGTTTAAATTCTTTTTGGTGTAACTTTAATAAGGCAGCCACTTTGTGTAAATGCACTCACAAGGCAGGGGTTTGTGATTTCACTACGCCTCAGCAGCCATGGAATTTATAACTTAACCACAGGATGTGATATTACGGATTAGGGGAGAAACTGGGAAATAACATGATAAAATTGGTATATTGTGTATTTTTCTTTTTATTAGTGTGCCGGTCCAGCAAAAGCCCCTGGGTCTGTCTGACTTCTTCAGGTGTCCACTGTGGAAGGTGGGTGACATACTTATTCTTACTTTGCTATCCAACTTGCTTTTTTCAATTTACCTTAAGCTTTATGTCAAAGTTTTACTGATTTGGGTTTATTTAGCACCACTGCTTAATCATAGTGTGTACGTAATTCTCTGTAGGGCTTCCCTCTCCTAACAGAATCCCTGTTCGGTGATGGAACTGAGGAAAATCTGGAGGGGGGACCCCTTTTTTGTTGGTACTCAGAAGAATTAATTTGATGATAAAGACAATCTACTAGTAATATGTGACAGTCTGCTAGTAATAAAAGATGAAATAAGGAACTCTGATGTCTTATGGTTGTTTTAAGTACCTTTTATTAGGGTAAATTTAAGCACGCTCAGAAGTAGAGAGTATAATTAATTGAACCCTGTATTTTTACCGCCCAGCTTCAACACTTATAAACACGTGGCCAATTTTGTTTCACCTATTACCTATGCCAGCCTTACCTTTTTGAATCTGAGTTTTGAATCAGATCCTGGATATCACATTATTTTTCTGAAAACAAAACAAAACAAAACACTAGAATATGTACAGATAAAGGAACTCCCTTGAGAACGACCTCACGGTGGGGTTATTAATGCTGTCTCAAATGTACCACATGTTTCATTCCATTAAGGCTTAACACTCCCAACCCCCATTCCAGCCTGAGCATTTCCTCCTAGGTCTTTGCTCCAAAATGACTTTACTTAAATATTAAGTACGTTAGTAACTCTGCTAACAGAAACTCAAGTAAACATCCACCTTTGTGTGCCTGGCAGTAGCACATTTATTTCTGTCTCTCTTTTAGCTTGGAAAATCCACTTTGAATTTACTTTAGAAGTTAATAGCCCAGCAGCAGGGAGATGGGAAATCATACCAAGCGGCACAGGCTGAAATCTGTATTGCATTTATTTGGACTGTTTCCCCACTGTTATTTATAAACCTTCATTGCATGAAGAGAGCATCTTATTTTCAGTCCTGGAACTGAGTATTTTGTTTCATGTACACTTAAAGAGTACCTTTGGAAAATGTTAACTGCATATCTTAATTGTGGTTGTTGTGGTTTTGCAATCTCTAGGATTTGGGGAACCTGAGAATACTTTGTACAGATAACATTTTTTCTTTTTAAAAAAGAAGAAAAGTAGAAGCACTTAAATACTGCACTTTGAAGAGACAGATTCCTCTCCTAGATTTTGAGAGGTGAGAGTTATAATGTAATAAAACTTACATAATTCTATTCTCCATTTGTCTCATAGTGCTCTACAGCCTGAATCTTGAAGGTCATATGTCAACAAAAAGACCTGACAAACTAAAAAATTGGAGAGATGAATGTCCTTGATAGCTAACAACAAGCAGTTCTCTAAGTAGGTTTGGAAAAATAATCAAAATGTGATAATTCTACCTAATAAAACTGAAAAAGGAAAAAAAAAAAGAAAGTGAAAACTTTCTAGGCTCTGTAGGCAGCATGCTTCCAGTTGTAAGCAATCTTAAATTTAGGAACTTGACATGGTGCAGAGGTACATGATTAAGTAGATTACACAGATGAGGAGAAGAGCCTGTATTTGGACGTTCATTTTACATGGCTGATTGGCTAATGTTCTTGTATCATGTAATCCTGGGTATTGGTTGCCAAGGATTCTGGGCTTTTTTTTTAGTGATTTAGCCCACTTGTCTGTAGGGAAGTCTTAAATTGAGCATTTTTTCCACTAGGAAACATAGTTTATCCGTAGCGCATTTGAGTTATATATCCTATTAGTCTTCATGACACCATCCCATTTAAGGTATTTTTCCGATTTTTGCTGTTGTTAAAAAATCTGTGATGTGCATATTGACACTTTTCCTTTTTAGACCAAATTGTCTAGCTAAAATCTAAAACTGGATGAGAGAAATATTTATTTTTATGATAGCCTTTTTATACGTGTTGGTTAACTTCTGACTGATGTTTTGAGTATTAGCCAAAACATTGTTACTCTTAGGTCTGCAGTAAAGCAGCCCTACTGTGTCACTGACGTTGACATGTGAGCATTTAGTACATTTGGAGACTACAGTATGTGTGTAAATGAACTATATGCAATGTAACCAGTTTTCAAAAATTTGAATGTGGTAATGCCTTTATTATCATTCCCTATTGCCTTTTCTTGGATTCTGAAGGTACTCCTCATTATAAATATTTCTTTGTTTTTCATGGCACAGTATAAATACGTATAAGCCTAGGAAATTAAGCTGTAAATACATACAAGCATAGGAAATTAAGCTGATTAGATATTGAACCTATAGGCTCCCCTGGAGTTTATCTTTTAATTAAATATGGGGTGTTTCCTGACCTGTGCAATGTGTTATCTCAAAGTATGGACTTAATATGATGACTTTCCAAGCAATTATGTTGTTTGGATTCTGAATAAATTGTAGTTAAGCAGGGAGGCAGGGTATATAGCTCAGTGGTAGAGCTTGTGCCTAGCAAGCATGAGGTCCTGGGTTCAATCTCCAGTACCTCGTACCTCCATTAATAAAAAAAACCAAAAAACCTCATTACCTCCCCCTCCACCAAAAAAAAAAAAAAAGTAGTTGTTAAGCATATAAAGGAAAATACGAATAAAAAATTGCTAACACTCATTCATGCATGCATTCTGAGCCGTGGATTGTTTAATCACCTAAGAACCGACAGTGTAAGTGTTGTTACCTCCATTACAGGTAACAGAAGCACAGAGAGGTTAACTCACCCCGGCTCCCCTGGCCAGCATGTGACAAAGCCTACTTTTGAACCCAGGCAGTCTTGTTTTTGAGTTTATACTCTTAATCATTTTTAAAAAATTCATTTTAGTCCACTTTTGTAAACTTAAGACCTTTGTACCCACAAGTGTTGGTTATGTTTATTACAAAGAAAACAAAATGTCGGAAAAAACCATGACCAAAGTCAGAGTTGAGTGGAGGGTGGCAGTGCCTCTCATGCTTCCAGCTTTCCTGGGGCCAGAGGCTGGGCTTGCGGTTGGTCCTCCTCGCTTTCCCTAGCTTTCCCCAAGGTAAGTGTTGCTCCTTGTTCAGTTAAGGCGCCTTGTGACAAAAATGTCACCTTAACTCTCTGAGCAGAGTTATTTTGGTGCTGTTAAATCAACATTCGTTTTGACTGTTGTGAGTTTTCCATTAGGCCTTGCCTTCTACAAATTAGCTGCTTTCTAGGAACTGGGGAGTTTTAGTTTTTGTTTTATAAGGGTCTTCAAGTAGTGGTCGGTTACGGTTTTGTACATATTTAGGTGAAGATGTAGGTGAATTTGTGTGCACAGCATATGCATGTGAACCCTCAATTCAGTTTTATTTTGCTTTTTGTGATAAAATGATTTATTCAATCTGAATGGGAAAGAGTTAATTTTTATGACTGTAGTCAACCTTTGATTATCTTTGTCCATGTAGAGAAAGAACAGTCTATATAAGGTTAACATGAGTTGTGTTTTGTTTGGATTTTTTCTAAACAAAGCTATTCCATATGAGTGGAGTGATTGTGCAGGCATTCAAATAAAAGATTTGGAGCCATACTGATGAGAAGGAGATGGAAGGTTGTCCTGTTTCACTATCTGATTCTCATGTTTTTATTAAGCAGAGCCCGTGACCCTGTGGGCAGTGACTGAGTAATTTAGTTTACGGAACTCGTCTTTGATAATAGCCTGAGGTTGGGGCTAGCCGTCTGAGAAACACTTTAAAAAAAGAAAAAAGCCGTAGCAGAAGGATCTAGCAAAGGAGTTGACAAGCGATGATATCACTGGTGTTGAAACTGGTTTGCGTAGATGACACCTTCCTTGCCTGGCCCCAGTCTTGTGTGTAACTAAGAGCCGACTGTCATACATGATTGCGAAAGAAGAGCATATTTTAAGTACTCAGCTTAATAAATCACTAAGTGACTGAATGTTCTTACAGGAATGAATGCTCTTATTAGGAAAAATTCTTTCTCATTTCTGATTTGATAACAATCTAATTTTATTATCATCTCCTACTACTTTACCTTCCAAAGCAGTATTTAGATTAAGATAGATTTTCATTTGATTTTTGTAAGGTATGTGAATGTCATGCAAAAAAAAAGTTACGAAGATGCACAAATACCCTTAATCAACCATAAGAAGTCAGAAAAGCAAGAAAAAGCTCAGCACACGGTATGTACGGATTGCAGTAGCTACAGTATGTACTGGTAAGTGTTACTGTTCCTTTACCGTGAGTGCAAGTGTTTCCTCATCTTCCTCGCTCTTTGCGCTCGCCCCAGCCTCTAAAGCAGTCGAGACGGCCACTGCTGCCTGTGAGTTCTGTGGGGACTCACAGAGGACGGGGCCACCAGGACCACCTGTACGTATTCATTCCGATTTCCCTTTGCTTTGCCCTTTCAGCCTCTCCGCTGCCTCTTCTTTCCCACCCCCCGTAGGCTGCAGGGAAATGAAAAGTAACTATTATTTGTTGTTGCTCACTGTAAGTCCTTTTCTTTTTCTTGTTTTGTTTTTAATTGAAGAATGAAAGGATTAGAAACTCAGTGCCCCACCTGAGATAAAAACCCATGTTCCTATTGTCCAGTTAACATTTTGTTATATAATCTTAAATTTATAACTTCTTTGTTTAAAAAATTATTTTGACATTCTCCCCACTCCC